ACCCCGCTCCATCCCCGCCCCGCCTCTTTGCAACCCTCCCCCAAGCACAGCCCGTCCCATCCCCTCTCCCTCCCTCTTGCCTGCCGCGAAACAGCTGATCCATGGAAGGTGGGACGTGGGGTGGGGGGAGCTCGGCTGCCCGTTGGCGCTTATGAATGGCGGTTCCATTGTACAGGGAATGCGAGTGATCGTTCCCAAATCACCACACACTCGGGGGCTGGAAGCTCGTTGCGAAGGTCAGTTTGGCGTTGTGCAGATGAAGGCCACAGCCCGGAGTCAGGCCGAGCCGGGGACGGACAAGACCTTGTGGGGAAGGGGAAGTGCTGATACAGCATGATCCCGGCCCAACTTGTCTCCCCCCGACTGCAGCCTGGGACTTTCTGTTCCTCTGATCCAACCTCCTTCAGTTACAATCCTAACGTTGACAATTTGGTGAAGGAAACTTTGGTACCAGCTCCAGCCAGTTCCACACCAGACCTGGCCGATTCCTCCCCACGACTGCTCCTGGCAGCCAGGACACGGCCACACCTCCAGCCCCACGTCATCGCCCTCGAGCGGAAACCCAGAATTTATGAATTGTTTCGCTGGCAGGTCGCTTTTCCAGGGCCGAATAATCCCCGGCCATTGACGACTCTGCTGTAGTCCACCTGCAACTTTTAGCGGGGTTGTGTCGTGGTTCGTGTTAGAAGTCAGCGATAACGCACGTGGGTGTGGGAAGGTTTTTAACACAGGCTGGAGGAGGAACGTGAGATCATGTCCCTTTAAACGTTTCAACACTTCCTGGCCCCTCGGGAAAAGTCGCAGCTTCTTGCTGGTTTCAGTTCTGTGTCTCGATCAGTAAAGTGAGGCCGGCCCTGGCTGCGTGTCCCTCTATGTCCGGCCGTCAAGCTCCGGTCCGGCTGGCTCCCGGAGGGGAACAGACAGTCCGGCTGCAGCAGGCAGGGGAATTACACCCAAAAACCAGCGCCCCCCCCCCCTTTGCTGCTGCCCCACAGCCAGTCGGGGCCTTTTACAGGAACTGCATCCGCCCTGCACCTTCTCTCTGCTTGCACACACCCCTCACGAGAGCTTAACCTTCGCCGGTTGTTTCTGTTTCATTCTGTATAATCCCTTCAGCCTCAGAGACGAGTCCAGCAAAGCCAGTTAATACCTAACACAAGACGGGGCAGATTTCCCACGGTGAATTCCTCGACAGATGTTTTTCTAACCAATCGGCTCTAGGAATTGTTTTGGGGCCTTCTCCGGCCCATGTGGTGCAGGAGGTCAGACGAGAAGGTCACAAGGGTCCCATCTGGCCGGGGCTTCTAGAAATAAACGTCACAGGTGTGAAGTCACCATCTGCTGTTTGCCCCGAGCCCCGTGACTTGTATTAAACTCACCAGGATGCGCCGTGATCTAGGGTGACCAGATGTTCCAGTTTTACAGGGACAGTCCCGATTTTTGGGTCTTTTTCTTATAGAGGCTCCTATTACCCCCCACCCCCTGTCCTGATTTTTCACATTTGCTGTCTGGTCACCCTACTGCGATCTGTGATTTAAAAAGTGCCGTGACAAATGAAATTCAGCTATACCTCTTTAACATCATTAACGAGTGTCTTTCTCCACCACTGCCTCCTCCTCGCAGCCCCTGCCGAGGGTGGTCAGCACCCCCTCACTCACATTCAAAAAGTCTCGGACAAACAGAACGTCTGTGACATTTTCAGCACTGTGGCAAACCTGCTGCCCTAATTATACCACTTTTTGAAAAATGAAACACCCATATTACCACACTCCCCCCCAGACCCGGCGGCATCTCACCGGGTGAGCCATCTCTGTGTGGCGTTATGTGCGGCTGTTCACCAGCTGCCCCGCCCCAGAGCTGGCTGCATCTCAACATTAAGCAAACCAACTGTGCATCTAGTTTCTACAGCTTCCCTTTCAAGGTTGGGACCTGTCATACAGGGCCGGCTCCAGGCACCAGCGCAGCAAGTAGGTGCTTGGGGTGGCCAATGGGAAGGGGCGGCACGTCCGGCTCTTCGGCGGTAATTCCGCGGCGGGTCCCTCAGTCCCTCCGAGAAGGACCCGCTGCCGAATTGCTGCCGAAGAATGAAGCGGTGCGATGGAGCTGCCGCTGATCGCGGCTTTTTAAAAAAAAATCCCCCCCTTCCCCCTCCGCCACTTGGGGCGGCAAAAACCCTGGAGCCGGCCCTGCTGTCATAACATGACTTCCTAGCAGATATCCGAACACTGCAAATGAAATAGAGGTTTTTGATTCATGTGAATGAAATTTCAAACACTCCTTTCCCTGTCATGGAGCAAATCCTCTGGCAAAACAGGGGAAACTCCGTCCAGTCGATAGGCCTGGTTCTCTGCTCGTGCGGTGTCAATCCATCGTGGCACCGTTGAAGTCGCTGGAAGGATGCCGGTTGAGAACTTGTTGGCATGGGAGGAGAGCCCAGTGAAATGCAAGTTTTGCCTGGGAGAAAAAGGCCCTCAGCCTTTGGCTATATCCGTATCTAGTCCCCCGCTCTCTTCCAGGCATCTCTTCCCTCTTAACGATAGACACCCCTCTGCTTTAGGCCCCACACAGCAGCTGTTTCTCTGAGCTGTTTGTTTTGACTGATGGGAACGCTGACCAGAAACCCTGCAAGAAATGGCTTTTGTAGGAGGGAGAGGAGGGCTCTGTCTTGGAAAGAGACGACTCAGGGGGGATATGAGAGAGGTCTATAAAATCATGATTGGTGCGGAGAAAGTAAATCAGGACATGTTATTTACTCCTTCTCAAAAGAGAAGAACTAGGATCCACCATATGACATGAACAGGCAGAAGGTTTAAACCAAACAAAAGGAAGTATTTCTTCACACAACCTGTGGAACTCCTTGCCAGAGGATGTTGTAAAGGCCAAGCCCATAATAGGGTTCAAAAAAGAACTAGATCAGTTCCTGGAGGATCGGTCCATCAATGGCTATTAGCCAGGCTGGGCGGGGATGGTGTCCCTGGCCTCTGTTTGCCAGAAGCTGGGAATGGGCCACAGGGGATGGATCACTTGATGATTCCCTGCTCTGTTCATCCCCTGGGGCACCTGGCATTGGCCACTGTCGGAAGACAGGATCCTGGGCTAGATGGACCTTTAGTCTGACCCAGTCTGGCCGTTCTTATGTTCTTAATCTGCCCACCCAACCAGTAACCTGGGCCATCTCAGCAGCTCCTGTTCACTCGAGCTGTCCTCAGCAGCCTGCAGGAGAGGAAGAAAACTGAACGCAGCTCCTCAGCTGAGCTTGTCCTCCCAGGCTTATGAGTCCGGATGCCCCTTATTACAGTTTCTGTAGCTACAGATGTTTTACAGGTCGTGCAATTCTCCAGGCCTTCATAAAAATTTTGAATTCCTGCAGCAGTGAGTTCCTCAGGTGTATATGCCATGGGAACTAGTGTTTCCTGTTTATTGCCTCTATGGTATGCCAGACTTTGATTGAAATCAAGGTCCCCGTTGTGCTGGGTGCTGCACTGACCCCAACCGAGATCAGGGCCCTGTCGTGCCAGGAACTGCCCAGATCTCAACCGAGATCAGGGCCCCGTCGTGCTGGGCGCTGCCCAGACCCCGACCGAGATCAGGGCCCCATCATGCGGGCGCTGCCCAGACCCCCATTATTTTAACTGAAATTAAAGCTTTTTCAATGAAACAAACTGAATGTAAAAAACTGCATTGCAAATACGTTTGGCCCATCGCAGGACAGGGGAACCATCTGGAAGGAACTGAAAACGGTTTGTTTCCATTTGACAGTTTTCACACAGCATCTTCTTTGTGATCACCAATGTAGTCCCGACGGTAACTGGAGACTTTGTGTTTCTCTGAACGCAGGTTCCTTTTGCAGATGGCTCTGAGATTTTCCCTTCACTGCATCCTGCCCCCGGCTTCCTTCTAAGATATCGCAGAGTTGGAAAGATACAGCCGCAAATGCTGATCCGAGCCCTCTAGCGAATTCGATAAAACGGCGAATGCTTCTGTGACGTTGCACTCTATATGATTTTATGAAAATATGCTAATGAGGGTGAATATACTGTAACTGGAATATGCTTCATGCAAAAGGTCTCTTGTAAGGTATCATTACAAAGCTTATAATCTACTGAGTCTGATCATCCGATTTGTATAAATGTAGCACTCGTGTATCTGAAATGAGAAATATGAAATATAACTCTGAGGGCCTGTTGTAATTATGCAAAGTGTGGGCCATTAACAATGGTTTGGAATCTTGATGGCTCCCATCAACCAGGACAATTGACTGTGGATGGCTCTGTTTGCTGGCAGGCCTTCCTGGGAGTCAGGCTGGGAGGAATGAGGGCTTGCGGGGGGGTCTCCCAGGTCATGTGATCATGTCACCTGAACTGGAATCCATCTTTAACCTGGTGCTTTTCTATTGAGGAGGAGGGGTGGGAACCCAGAGAAGGATAAAGGATTCCCACCTTGTGCAAAAGATATATAGGGGGGTGGAACAGAACAAAGGGGGCTGCAGTCATGAGAAATCCCCTAGCTACCACCTGAGCTGGAACAAGGGCTGGACCAGGAGGAAGGATTGGGCCCAGACTAGGAAGGCGTCCAGTCTGTGATAGAAGCTTATTGAAACATCTGAGGGTGAGATTTTATCTGTATTCAGTTTTCTTACTGTATTAGGCTTAGACGTGTGTGTGTATTACTTTATTTTGCTGGTAATTCACTTTGTTCTGTCTGTTATTACTTGGAACTACTTAAATCCTACTTTTTGTATTTAATAAAATCACTTTTTACTTATTTATTAACCCAGAGTATGTATTAATACCTGGGGGGGGAAGCAAACAGCTGTGCATATCTCTCTATCAGTGTTATAGAGGGCGAACAATGTATGAGTTTACCCTGTATAAGCTTTATACAGAGTAAAACGGATTTGTTTGGGGTTTGGACCCCATTGGGAGTTGGGCATCTGGGTGTTGGAGACAGGAACACTTCTGTAAGCTGTTTTCAGTTAAACCTGCAGCTTTTGGGGGAGGTAGTTCAGATCTGGGTCTGTGGTTGTAGCAGGCTGGCGTGTCTGGCACAACCAGGCAGGGTTCTGAAGTCCCAAGCTGGCAGGGAAAACGGGCTCGGAGGTAGTCTCAGCTCATCAGGTGGCAGCCCCAAAGGGGGGTTCTGTGATCCAACCCGTCACAGCTTCCCACGCCTGCCTGTGAGCAATTCATACAATCGTTACAGTTGCGCCTTCTTGCGTTGTGTCTGGCCGCCTTCGTGTCGGAAACCCCCAAAGACAACTGGAATTTTTCCAAGAAAAAAAAAGGTTGGTCAAATGAAACACCCTTTTTAATACGGAAATGTGTAGCACACCCTTGTTGGCTTCCAAAGCTTATATATATTTAAAAAAAACAATCCTTTGTTTTCGAAATAAGAAAGTTTTAAGTGACTTGGGTTTGGTTTGTTTCCCCCCAATTTGGAACGACAGTTTCGAAAGAATACGAGGCTGTAATTACGCTGACCCAACCAGTTCATCAGCACAGGCTGTCCCCCTTCAAACACAGCAACATGGCTGATAACAATTAGCTTGACCTGTCTTTTTATTAGAGCGACAAGGTGGGGCAGGTAATGGCTTTTGTTGGACTAACTTCTGTTGGTGAGCGAGAGAAGCTTTCGAGTTTACACAGAGCTAGATAGATAAATAGGGGTGTATATGGATGGGTGAATAGATAGATAGATAGATAGATAGATAGATGATGAGGTGGATGGAGATAGATAGATGCAGGTGTGTGGGGTGGGACAGACAGATGGAGGAATGCAGAGATGGGTGGATGAGTGGGGGCATGGATGGGTGTGTATGGAGATGCTGGGGGATGCTGGGAGCGAAGGATGTGGGGTGGGGATGGACGGGTAGAGAGGTGTGTACTGGGATGGATGAGTGTGTATGGAGATGCTGGGAGCGATGGATGGGGGTGGGGATGGACGGGTGAAGAGGTGTGTACCAGGATGGATGGGTGTGTATGGAGATGCTGGGGGATGCTGGGAGCGAAGGATGTGGGGTGGGGATGGACGGGTAGAGAGGTGTGTACTGGGATGGATGAGTGTGTATGGAGATGCTGGGAGCGATGGATGGGGGTGGGGATGGACGGGTGAAGAGGTGTGTACCAGGATGGATGGGTGTGTATGGAGATGCTGGGGGATGCTGGGAGCGAAGGATGTGGGGTGGGGATGGACGGGTAGA